TAACCACTCACCATCAGGTGGGCCGTGTGCTCGTCTGCCTACAAGGGCAATAAAAAAAAAACTTTTGTCTCTCTCTCTCTGACCCTAGTCAGAATAGTAGTAATAGTAGTAAAAGTAGTAGTAGACAAAAGTAGTCTAAGGAGGCTTACCAGTCGATTCATAGATGCCTACGTAAAATCGAAGTCAAAGTTGTTGCTTAACGGTAATCCCACCCAATAAACTGGAAAGTATGACTGTTTCGAGCCAGAAATAGTCTGAACGATATATTTTAAAATACCTACCTATGATATCTGGATGATATACATAGAAGAAGGTAAACACTTCTTGTGTCCCTTCCCGGGGACACGGTTCGGGCCTTGGATGGATCCATTCTGCCCGGGCTTGTTCTGTCTTTATGCCAGAGGTGATGGTTATGCTAGATAAAGAGATGATGATGATGAAAGTAAGCTTTGTCATGGTTTCATTTTAATACACAAGGTTGTTCTTTCATAGTGAAAGCCATTTGTGAATCAATATGAAATATGTGGTTCCATAGAAAAATTGCTAATTTGAACTTCGGCGTAGTCTCAGTGCTCGATAGGAGTTAAATTGTCGCACACAATGTTAGCTGTTAGATTGTCACGTCTCTACAATAACAGTCTTTCCGCCAAGTAACCAGAAGAACCATTTTTCATCATAATTTCGTGTATTCTGACGTGAACATCTTTGAGTAATTACTACTATTTTACCGTCATCGATTCATTGTTGGATAAGCAACTGTCTTCGTGAGTGACTACCGGATTAGTTATGCCCTAGTTAAAATTAAAAGCACCACCATTCATCTGAGACAGCTGAGCTTTCAATCTTATGTCAAACGGTATTCTTATTATAGTTTACGTATACTTCGAAATCCGCTTAACCTCCAACGGACTGTACCCTTGTTTATTCATGTCACTCGACTAAGTAATACAAGAGTTAATGTTATTTTATTCTTTAAACTATCATAATTCAGTCGTGATAAAACACTATTCTACGAAAATTTATGAGAGGTTTTTTTATGAAATAAATACTCAGAATAGCTCACTGAATCAAATAAAATTCCTTAGACTGGTATTTGCGAAAGAATAAACGAATGATTCATGCTATTTTCATGCAACATTTCGCTTAATTTGCGTAACACTTGACCCACGTGTGGTTATGTTTCTGTACGATAATTTAATTAAAATACACGCCTTTTACTGCACCGTCTGCTTATTAACTAACCGCTATGTATAGACATATCGCTGCGCAAAACATAAACTGCAACATTCCGTTACAAATGATGTTTATTGTTATAAAATGCTAAAAACTTCCGTATTTTTCTAAGGAATCCTTGAGCCTCATTTTGATGGATCGATGGGCTTATGTTTGTGTGTAATATATTTTTATTGTTTTTTTTTTATTTTAATAATGATCCGGGAGGAAGTATTTAAGGAGGATAACGTTGGGACCTTGAACTTCTAAATAGTTCGGTTCGAGATTGGTAACAATTTTGATAGATTTGACTCAGTTCGTCTCAGGTTATTTTGGCAGTTGTTGTTTATGGGCAATCAAAAATGATGATACATAGTTGAGTTTTAATTCATAATCGGAGGAATATCTTAGATTTCAAACAAAAAACTTAATGAACAACAAACAGATTAGTTTTCGATAAAATCATAATCAGTGAACATCTTTCAAAAACAAATCATTTTTGCCTGAATGAAGGAATGTCATGAAATTGCATAAAATTACTTTATGTCAGAAAAATCAGTGTCATCCACTACTGATCGTATAATATTTCAAGAGGACTTGACATTTTCTTTTAGAAACATCTTGTCAAATAACAGGACAAACGAACGCTGCCATATGTAGACACGCAGACTGAAATTATATTTATTTTGCATTCTAGACTTGTATATTTACGCCCACTCGTGGATTTTAGTTTTAGATATAACTGAGGAATTGCTCTAAGGAATTGTTTGAGATGATACCATCATCTCGTTTTTACCATCGCACCGCTCGCCACCGGAGTAGAGTTTAATCCATACTATCCGGAGCCGTTCATCCACAGTGCGTTTCGCCGCGAGCGCCTATCCACGGTGTTTCCCGAGCGCTATTTATTTATCTATTTATTCCATTCAATACAACATCAGGCTTACAGTTTGCACCAAAACGCCAAACTCGTTAACACAAAAAACATTATTAAAATTATTAATTACTATTATTATGCTAAAAATAACATTATTTTAGAAAAAAGTATCCCCGACTATTGGTAAACACGTCAGCATTTCGGACTGAAATTCGTTTAACAGCGCAATTGCTCTGGCCGTTGGACAGTTCCTAGCTATAATATAGCTATAACATCTTCTTCAAACGAGGCTTGTGGAGAGTACATAACGGTGGGCAACGGCTTGGCTCTGCCTCTGGCATTGCTGACGTCCATGAGCGAAGGTAGCCACTCACCTTCAGGTGGGCCGTATGCTCGTCTGCCTACAGGGGCAATAAAAAAATAAAATTCAAAAGAATATTTCTTAATCTAAGCTTTGCATCTGTTGAAAATATGATTTTGTTTTGAATACACCATTTTGCAATGGCGGCGATGGTCAGAGGAATTTGCATATGTCTGGTTCTAAACGGTTACCAGAATATCTAGATACCACGTATGTATCATTCAACTATGTACTATGTCTCATACAACTAATCCACTAGTTTAAAATAACTTCAAAATACTTAAGATATTACTTTATTTTCATCAGATTCTTCTTCTGTATGTTTATCACATAAGCAGATTCACATTGTTGCTTATTCTTGTTTTCTCTTTTGATATGTAGGTATTATCTTGAAGAAAGTACTTTAGAATTAATAACCAAAATTTGACCATTTTTGTTTAAGATGCTGCAGAAAGAAAGTTTTATAAAAGTTTTTTAAGTCGTCGTAGCCTAAAGGATAAGATGCGACGGTGTTTGAATCCTGCAGACAAGTAGCAAATTTTCAAATTTTCATATCTGTATATCAGTACAGCCAGCCTTTCAAGACAATAAAAACGTCAGCACCAAAGTTGTGTTCAAAAACGTAGTTTTTGAAACAATTTAAAGGAATCAAATCTGCCATTTTTATCGAGACAACGGAGAAGGAAATTTTTGGTGGCCCTATTTTTAAATATATCACGCATCCATCACTTCGTAACTCATAAATAAAACAAGTTTTATCTTTTTGTATTATTTTTGAAGCAGATGGAACACAATAGGTAAATTAGGAAGACAATCCTGAGTGGACCTTGAAATTCTTATCCGGGCTTTACTTTGCATGGAGTTTACCGAAAAAAATACAATTCCTCTTTTTTTTCGTTTTTAAGACAGTATTAGTAGTAGTTAATAAAATGACATAATTATCATTATTCTAGATAGAGTAGACCACAAAAACTGAGGAATTTCATGTGAATTCAATCGTAATGTAATATATTTATATTTAGCATGTTTTGTAAATGATAAAATTCAAAAGGTACTTAGTTAGTCTATTTCCCAGAAAATATGTTCAAGACTCCATATTTCAAAGTTAAACTTAATTCATTATTCTCAAAACATGTTCACCTTTTATTCAAAATCCATCCATTATAGTTTTATTTATGATGATGCGAAACTCCTAATTTACATCATCCAATTATGTGTGGGCCGTTTAGCGATGTATTTTTATTTCATAAAAGAGATCTACATTAAAATTTAAGGTTATAATTACTATTTGCAGTTAAATTCCAATTTTATAGTTTAATCATTCTTGTATTTTATTGTAATTTATGCTGTCACAATTTCTGGATAAGTAATCAATTAAATTTATATCCTTTCCGACTGTTTCCGTTGTGTTACAATTTCAATTTTAAATTTTAATATTTATTAGATTGTGAAAAGACTACAAGGTCCGTTCTTGTTTAAGATTTATTTAAAAATGTCGAAATATGTATCACACCTATTTTGACGCCATCGACTTCAGAATGTTAGCAACAGTTCGCACGAACGCTTAGTGTTTTTGAACAAACATACTCTTTGAGGATTTTCAAAAGAAATAGCTAATCTATTTTCCAAATAAACAGCCCGAATTTTAGTATTTCCCTTTTATGTTACCGCTACAGTTACTGCAAACATTCACGAGACACAACCAAGTATAGGCTCCGAATTTTTATTTTTTATTTATTGCTTAGATGGGTCGACGAGCTCACAGCCCACCTGGTGTTAAGTGGTTTCTGGAACTCATAGACATCTACAACGTAAACGCGCCATCCACCTTATATAAGTTCTAAGGTCTCAGTATAGTTACAACGGCTGCCCCACCCTTCAAGCCGAAACGCATTACTGCTTCACGGCAGAAATAGGCGGGGTGGTGGTACCTACTCGTGCGGACTCACAAGAGGTCCTACCACCAGTAATTTTACTGGATATACAAAACCTATATTTTACTGGATATAGTAAGCCGGGTCGTACCCCGTGATACATCAAGTAATGAAATGAATCATGTTATGTATTTTGCACAAACACTTGCTTCTTGTCTGCAGGATTCAAAAACCGTTGCATTTTATCCTTTAGGCTACGACGACTTCAAAAACTTTTATATGATGATTTAATGAATATAAATATGAGTAAAGTAAAATTAATATAAAATATTATGTAAATACTGTATATGTTTAAAAGTTTGTTTGAATTGAAGCAAAGCTGAAAAAATATTTGAATATATTATTATATTTCTTTTAATATATAAAGCTAATTTAAAAATCCAACCGTGTGCGAAGGATGACTAACAAACCTTTTAAAAATGTATATTTCTGCAAGTTAAAATACCGCTACATATTTTATAAAATATTTGTAAATCTAAGAACATAATTTACACTATTAGCATTATTAATCGATTCGTTTTTTTTTTTTTAATAATCTATAAAGGACAAAAGCGTATTTATATAACAAAAAGTATTGAAATGAAAACCTCGCATAAGTCGAAACAAAATTTGATGTTTACATATTTTTATTAAATAATAAGACTTAACTGCTGTCTCAAAAGACACGATTACTCCGCTCTCATATACCTTTATGTATACAATTACAAAACTATCTCATACTCGTATTATCATATTTTTTAACGTTATGCTCGGAAAATAATTTATTACAGAGCAATTAAATTTGATACGCATCTACAAAAATATTTAAATAATAATATAATTAATGCATAAAAGCCGTATATTTTTAATGTTATAGAAAAATAATTCTAGAATCTTCCTCTTGGCTTGAAGGGGGCTGGTTGTTGATACTGTCCTTGAGAATTTGAAGAATCTTGTGCACTTGGAGGAAGAGTTTTCAAGTAGTCCAGGGCTTTTTGAATCGCTGGAGGAATCGGTGGTGGTGTGGGTAAATGATCACCCTGTATTACATAAACAAAAGTTTGATAATATCATATACAATTTCAGTCACCATTTTTTTTTTTTTTTGAGACTAGATGCCTCTCCTGAGACTCGAGAAATGAGGATGTAGTTAAATTTTGTTGAACTCAATGATAAGCAGCTTGGCTATGCCCTTAGCATTGACGACGTCCATGAGTGATGGTAACCACTTACCATCACATGGGTTGTATGCTAGTCTGCCTACAAAGGCAATAACTAAAGCATAGGGAAATTTTTTCACAACATTGTTTGAATTTTGATTACAAAATTTAGCCGCAATNCTCGAGAAATGAGGATGTAGTTAAATTTTGTTGAACTCAATGATAAGCAGCTTGGCTATGCCCTTAGCATTGACGACGTCCATGAGTGATGGTAACCACTTACCATCACATGGGTTGTATGCTAGTCTGCCTACAAAGGCAATAACTAAAGCATAGGGAAATTTTTTCACAACATTGTTTGAATTTTGATTACAAAATTTAGCCGCAATTCCTATGTGGCCGTAGTAAATAACAAAAATTTACTCATATGTAACCGTTATGATTTGTTGATTCACATTAATGTTATGCAATGGTTAATGTAGGCTTACTGTGAAACACGTGTAACATTGGACATTAAGCTCTATTCAATTTGGTAACATGTCACCCGAGTAAACTGGTATAGGATCGACCAATCATCCCATTTCTTAAGAGCAGGTCACTGCGGGTCGAATTCTGATATTTTGAAGTGACATTTATACAGATGTTAGCCAACCACGATGCGGTGGATCGTCCACACTCATTGCATCTTCCTCAAGCGATTTGCGAAATTATGACCCATGCTTAATTTGAAACATATATTGGGTATTTTGTGACGCCTAAACTCAGTAAAGTTTAATTTTATTGATAAATTATACGTATTATACCTAAATTATAATTTTAATAGTTCCACAATATGGTAGCACCTCAGAGCCTCAAACGTGCTGACAAAGCATATTTGGGTATTTTGTGACGCCTAAACTCACTAAAGTTTAATTTTAGTGGTAAATTATACGTACTATACCTAAGTTATAATTTTAATAGTTCCGCAATATGCTAGCACCTCAGAGTCTCGCACGTGCTGACAAAGCATATAATTATAAATTTGGCGTGACAGTTACAATGACACTAACGATCAAAATTAACGAACACCATATTAATTATAAAACTGACATTTAAGTTTTGTAATAAACCGTTTATATGTAGGTACGGGTTCGATCGCTTTGTTTCTGTTAAGACATAGAAATGGCGTTGCGTCCCAAGCAGCGTAGGTGCAATTTGTTACAAAACAAACATTTTTTCTAGATTATGTATCTTAGTTTGTCGAAGAATATTTAACGTAGTATTGTAGGTCAATGTTTATTTCATAGTTGTGACTAGATTTGGATTGATGCTCAGTCGAAGGTCATCTAAACGTTTTTTTTTATCTAGATTGGGTTTTTATTGACTATAGAATTCCAATAAATTCGTTCTGTGTTCAATGCACTAAGCTTACGTAATATGAGGAGATGTAAGTTTGAGGAATCCTTTATGTGAACGTTGTTAAATTTAATTGTACGCGGACCAGCTACAACTCGTTTTGTGTGCCGGATTCCGTGAAATATCTGACGGCGGGCCATTATCTTGTGATTCCCTAACGTAAGATGTCAAGGACTTCGCTGGTTCTTTACGACGAGTTTAAGATGCCTCTGTACCACAGATCGTCGGATCGATGATTGAGCAAATTTTAGTCAATTATTTTACTGGTGGTTGGACCTCTTGTGAGTCGGCGCGGGTAGGTGCCACCACCCTGCCTATTTCTGCCGTGAAGCAGTAATGCGTTTCGGTTTGAAAGGTGGGGCAGCCGTTGTAACTATACTTGAGACCTTCGAACTTATATCTCAAGGTGGGTGGCGCATTTACGTCATAGATGTCTCTGGGCTCCAGTAACCACTTAACACCAGGTGGGCTGTGAGCTCGTCCACCCACCCAAGCAATAAAAAAAAACATTTATTCTTTGTCGTGCTGGACAGGATTTTAAACAACAAGTTATTAGCTGAAGATGTCAAGGTTAAGCGATGTTGGCCAGTGTGCCGCTCTGTCTTCTAGAGCTGGCATTAACGTAAAATCTCACGTTGTCCATCATTTAGTACATTGTAATACCTGGGGTTGGAAACCATTTTCATCGGCGATATATGAAAGCGCAATTAGCGAACCATCAGGTGCTTTGTAGCTGAATTTCCCTTCAGCTACTTGCACTTCTTCACCTTCTCCTTTACCGAAGTTTTTCACGTAGCCAGTCTCCTCAGCGTTTATTTCATTTCCGGTTTCATATCTAAAATTAGCAATAAATGTTCATAATATGAATAAAACGAAACGTTTTTTGAAATATTAATTATAACTTTTGTTCTAAATACCCTGTAGGTTTTTTGGTATATAATGTTCTAATCAAATTTTATTAAAGTATAATTTGCTATGACTGGTAGCATTTTTCTTTTGTTACAAGAAAGCGATTCAATGCAACGACTCCAAGTCGGGGGTTTTATTGTCACGAACGGAAACACTCATAAGAGACAACAAAAAGTACCTACAATGAAATATATTGAGTACTAAATTTCTTTACCAAAGAAAAACGGTGTCTCTGAACGGGAATTGAACTCGGAGCCCACAGTAAAGTAGCCAGAGCTCTAACCACAAAAAAATATTCTATAAAGATTTGTTATTTATATAATTGAATATTTATATTAAATTCAGTGAAAAGGCGCATCGTGAGTTTATCACGAAGCAGTCAGTAGTTCCAGTTTGAAGCGAAGAACAGCCATTGTAGTCGTATATTATAATTACGTTGTCTATATGAATCTCAGCCTTTAAAAACATTTTTAAAAAGTGTGACGGTATGTTATTTCTATGAGCGATAACCATATAAGTGCGTGAGTGAGTCTACCCGATCAAAGCAATAAAAAAAACCTTACAGCCATTTGTAGGATCCATCGGGATTAGGTCCATCAGATTCATATCGTATGATGGGAATGGGGTCATTAATTGAATGTTGTTGCGCATGGACTGCATAAAACACTGTCAATGTACACAACAGTATTGAGATCTGAAAAAAAAAACAATATTAAAAAAAAATTGGCATTGTAGAACCTCTTGCTCCTCAATCTCTATATATAAAAATGAATTGCTGTTCGTTAGTCTCGCTAAAACTCGAGAATGGCTGGACCAATTTGGCTAATTTTGGTCTTGAATTATTCGTGAGTCCATGGAAGGTTTAAAAGGTGAGAATATAAAAAAGCTCGGAATTATATAAAAACAAACAATGTTGTTTTTCCTTTGATGTGTCCCCTTGATGTGTCTTTTATTTATCGATTGAGGCACTACGAAGTCTGCCGGATCAGCTAGTCATTAATAATTATCACTGCTATCAATAACCCCAATTTTTTTTCTTGAGATTTTAATAGTGCCGTAAGATATGTACAATAAAAAAAAGGTCTTTTATAAACAGACTTGAAATGTAAATAAATAAATTTATATTCTGGAGGGTAATTATGGAAACAAAAAAAAACGCTCGGTATATTGTCATATGACAGAAACACTTAAACAGAGCAGTATTCTTGGTTTGTAATTATTATCTTTTTGAAATACATTCATAGACTTTTAAATACATAGTTTATCTATTTATTACCTTAGAGTTATATTTATTTTAGTCCCCTAGTTATAACGTAAAATTAAATTTATCCTAAGCTATAGATGTAACTGATATTATTGAACAATATCATTTTCTTAACCAATAAAGTATTTCGCAATAAAACTCAAAAGTACGTATGTTTCAGAGCGGCACCGACATTTCGATAAGTTTTTGATAAAGTTGTTAGTGTGAATTAAACATTAATAATTTTTTTGTAGCTCTCAGATAAATATAAACTCCGACATTGCTTATGCAATTAACAATTTTAATAAGCTTATAAACTACTAAAATATAGTTTTGATATTACTAGGATACTACGAACAAATAATGACGTTAATATAGGAATCAAACTTTTTTAACCGATTCAAGCGTTACTTGTTAGCTTCCATAGTAAAAAATCGTATTGTGACATTTTTGTTGCGCTCGCCATAATGCAATTCTTTTTTAATGATCCAATATTTCTTTTACAAATTAAAATTTATTAAACCAAGAGCAATTATTAATAAACTGAGATATTTAAATTACCACTCACTAAGATACAGAAAACATCTAGATGTGTATATTAATCACGTTTGAAATCTTGCGCCAACATTTACTACATGCGGAAATACTCAAACAATCGGAACAGCGGGAGAGAGTTGCATAGGTTTTCTTATCGAACAATATGCCCTGTAGTCTGGATGGAGTGTTGAAATTGCGAACCGCAATAATTTAAATGCAACACGTATGTGTACTTAACGTGTTGACGTCGGTGCTTATGAGTTCAATGACATGTGTTCAAGTTTGTCTTTTGTTCTTACTTTCTGTCAGTTTTAAGTTTGAGCCCAAGAATAAATTTTCTTAAACTGCCTCTTCAGTTTTTGAAACTTGTTTGTTTTCTCGATTGATATTGTAGGAGCCTTTGAGGTACCCATAGGCTATATGCTCCCAATATTGATAATTGGTATTAACTGAAACCTCATCAATGCTTAACACGAACTTACAATCTTGTTTTTCTCACAAATATGCTAAATCACTTTAGAAACAGCGCGAAGAGACAAAGATCTCTGATATTCAGGTAAATGTTGCAGAAATATCAAGTTTTCCGATTATGTGACCAAGTTAATTGGAAATACGTCAAGTGTGTTTGAAGTGAGAGTAAACTTGAGCACAAATCTTCTAACATACATATGCTCACAAAGAACTAGTTTTACAAGTATGAAGCCTACCAAAGTTGAACCCACACAAGTGACTTTTACCATATTGCCTATTTATACTAAGCGGTATAACATTCCGATTTATATTATTGGGCAGTCATATGTGGGGGCATTCTCGCTATGTAATCTATAAGCTTTAGTAATCACTTAACACCAGTGAGTCGCAATAAGCCGCGAGCTCTTCTGAAAAACTTTACCAATGATAGTTAAGTTTATTATACAGTTTATGACAAATTCGTAAATTAGTCATTTGCACGAATACGGCATTATTAGCCGTTAGGACATCAAGTAGTAAGTGAGCTATTTCAAGGAAAGCTATTAATGGCATTACTTGTTTATCTAGCATAATTTTGCTTGATCGAAATAGAAGAATTTCAAGAAATATTCAATTCAATTCAATATTCAATTCAACGGCCGTCTGGTGAAGTGGTAAGTGACATGGTCACTACATACGGTGGTCGCGGGTTCGAATCCCGCCAAGGGAAAGATATTTGTATGATAAATATAAATGTCTTTTCCAGGGTTATGGATGTATATTAAATATATGTATGTGTATAATAAAAATCTTATATTTATTTCCTTTATCTGGTACCTGTAACACAAGTTCTTTACGAACTTATCACGGGACCAGTTAACGTGGCGTGATTGTTAGTAAATATTTATTATTTATTTATTTTAATTGACTATATATTTATTATTTTATATAACTGCAACGATAAAATTTATAGTTGAAAATAAATCTTAATACAAATTAGTAAAGCTCTACAAGCATTTTTTTATCTATTACTTCAAGACGGAAACCAACGAATGATACAATCAAGGGATGTCAATCATTTTGCGCAAACTAGACGTGGTTAGCTAATAATAGCTGCAATTATTATTGTTGTGAATAGTTATTGAACTCAATTTCTAAATTGAAAAAAAGACAGCCGCAAGTAATCACATGGTATGCGTAACCAAAATGGATAGACATAGTTCTGATGAAAATTACATTGAGATAAGAATGCTTGTAACATTGACACAAAGTGATTCGTAATATTAAAAAAAATATTTGTTTTTATGCATCTTAATTATTAGTTAATAATATTTAATCACCGTTTATAACTTTTATTAGAGATGAGATTTTTACTATACATGATCCAACTATGCACACGTGTAAAACATGATCATGAACAGATAATGTCCCCGGCCACGAAAACGATAAAGTATACAAAGCGTCTGAAATTGTGTAACGAAGAATACAATCACGTAACGGAAACCTTAAAATGTTTATGTGTTAGTTTTATTGTTTATATTATCTATATATATATAAATGAATTGCTGTTCGATAGTCTCGCTAAAACTCGAGAACGGCTGGACAGATTTTGCTAATTTTGGTCTTGAATTATTTGTAAAAGTCCATAGAAGGTTTAAAAGGTAGATAAATATGAAAAGTTCCTTTTGTTTGTTTTAAGTTTATTTTATACAAAAGTTTAGGTCTTTTATTTATCGATTGAGGTACTACGAAGTCTGCCGGGTCAGCTAGTTGTTAATAAATAACAAGTTAGTATAAATGATAATAAGCGAACGTGATGCGTCGCGTACACATCGCGCGTTCTTAACTCAACACAGCACATATAGCAAACAAAACGTCCGCTTTTGTCTTGACGAAACGTGACAAAGCGGGTAGAAACTACCGGAACAGGTAAAGAAAGGATTTCGTGATCCGACAACGATCTCGTTAAATTTCACCCCACATTGCATATTTCCACGTCAAATACGCGACGATTCTCGACCTTATAATAAACACGAACAATGACTAAATTCAGCATTTTATCATTTATTTTATAATTATCCGTTTCTTTAGATTCTTAACTCTGAATATTACTGCGAAAACTGTTTCCAATGTAATATGCTTATATGATATGATTTTCTATAAACTTACGTACCTAATTTTAGTTTTCTTTAATTTAAAAAGTCCCTTCACTGCGCTCAAAATTCAATAGAATAACTCAATTTAATTTCCATATGTAATTAAGTTTGTATATATAATGAGTATTGTAATTGATTTCAAAGGTTTTCTCAGAACAAAAGCCTTTAAATTTGCTTTAGGCAATTTTAACTAGTGGTGTTGTAATAATTGCAACATAATTACGATCGTCTACTTTTTTTACATTACGCATAAGCATTTTCAGGATAAATAATATTTTTTTCAGTAAAAATAGTACTTAAATCGATCATCACAAAAGATTTCGAAGGAACTTATTGAAAAAAAATACCAGATTATTATATTGTACTAGCTGACCCGGGAGACTTCGTAATGCGTCAATCGTTAAATAAAAGACCTAAACTTTTGTATAAAATAAACTTAAAACAAACAAAAGGAATCCGTCCGACGGGGGACAACATCAACGGAAAAACAAAATTTGTATTTTTATTTAATTCCGAGCATTTTCATATTTATCTACCTTTTAAACCTTCTCTAGATTTTCACAAATAATTCAAGACCAAAATTAGCCAAATCGGTTCAGCCGTTCTCGAGTTTTAGCGAGACTAACGAACAGCAATTCATTTTTATATATAGAGATTATTTAAAAATTTCTCACCATTGTATCTGGTAACAGGGGTCTGTAAAAGAGTCCGGATGCGATCAAAGACAGCAGAAATGTGTGCTCAGTGACACACCATGAGTCTTATATAGCTGTTTGTTTACCTATGAACTTCGTGAGACCCGTTGTCAACCATCCCTACAGCTCATCTCGGCCTTCTTACATGCGGACGCTGTTTACGCATTATGCATTTTAAACAATTCTCTGATGGAAATCAAATTACTGGACACGATTTTGATAGATTGGAATGATAATTGGATTGTTACAGCTAGTTTCCTTCGGATTTCGTTCCCATGGCGTTTCGGATGCTACTGATCGCTTTATTTCAATAATTAGAAATTAAAAAAATTAAAATTAGACTGTTCTATAGTATATTGATGTATAGATTTTATATGATCATAAATAACACGTACCCGATTTTTAAGAATCATTTTTATTTATTCGGTAAGGACCCGATGTATTTCCTACCGTAATTATGATATAATTATGCGTTCAAATCGTAAGGCAGCTACCAGTTTTGGTTAATACAATACGTACTGAATGTCCACAGCCCTTTCCATCTCTCCCCTCATACCCAATGTAGGGTACCCCTTTCTGAGGGCGCACTTTGTCCCCCCCGGGTGGCCCACTTCCCCGACACGGGAGTGCGTTCGACACCTCCCCATTTCAGGCTGCCCCGTAAGGGAACCTGGGACGGGTGAGTGACACTGATTTAGATAGTGGTAGTTAGGTAGACTACATTTGTATATTGCTGCATGTCACGCCCTTCCTACTTACTGAGTAATGCAGCAATGGCGTTGGCGGACACCTTAGCTTAAATAGTATTAGTTAGTAAGTAAGCGAAAAAAATGTAATTAGAAGAACCTGAGGGTGGCTGCCACTGAGCCTCGCCGCACAACATCAAATCAAATTCATCCTCAAGGTATTCTCATCAATCAAGCCATCGCACATCATACGTTACTACATCATCACCGTATTATGCTTATGTATACATATATTAGATCAAACTTCACCGACCCTACCGAGACATGCATACCAGTACTCAATCACCTCTACCTTATTCGGTAGAGAGCTTCTTCCCGGGCAAAGAGGTTCACCCCGAGGTCCGACCCGTGCCCCAGAAAGGGTGCACGACGACGCCGTAATAAAATTTGTACATAATACGTGCCCACGAACGTGAGCTATGACTTATCTATGGTATTTGAACATTGACGTCATAGTCGCATCGATACGAGTACACCGGGCATCTTATCCTTTAGGCCACGATGACTTCGCACACTAAGATGAGCCGTTATACTAATTTAATATAGTTTTTTTTATATCAAATTGATCTACTTAAATAGTGCTAATAGAAGTAATTAAATAACATAGGTAAAATAAATGACTAAAGTAATATTTTGAATACTCTTAATTATTTATGGAATATGTAGAAATATTACCCTCTATACTTTTTCATTTATTTATTAAGGATTACTGATGACCCGGCGTCCTTTTATGTTTCACCAGGACAGGTGAACGAGCAAAGGCTCAGCCAGGAAGGAAATATACCAAATTTTAGTACACCAACTGAATATATACATATTTAAAAATAGAAAAATACCAAGTAGATATTTAGTTAAACTGTCTATTCTAGTGTCTACTAGATGGGATGCGACAATTAAAACATTACATATTGATATTTAGGTGTTGCAAATGCGATAAAGTATTATATTTCAGTGAAACTTTTTTGTTGTTTGTTGTATTAGGAATTTTTAATGAAATTCTTAATAAACTTTAATAAACTCATTACTTCAATCATTAAAATTAATCATAATTTAAAGAACACGTAATACCACGACGTCATTTTTATTACTGGGAATCTCATAATGTCAATATAACCTACATATGAGCCTGTGTGACAAGCTTTTCATATTATACCGGGAATGACGAATAATCACAGATGGAAGACCATGTTTAGTTCTTTAAGTACTAAACAATATAATTAAGTACCACTTAACATAACTGAATGATATACTGTATATAATAATAATAAATATAATAAAAAAATAAAAAAAACAGCTTTCATAAGACGCCGGTATTTTCAACATAGCATAATTTTAAGCGATTGCACTCAACGCCTTTCAAGCTTTAAGTCCAATAGTGATGACTCTATTGTGAAACGTATTAGCTGCAACGCCACACACATTGACCCTATGAATCCTGTTTGGTCTCTGGCATTTAATCTATACTTCTATACTAATACTGCAAAGAGGAAAGATTTGTTTGTTTGTTTGTATTGAATAGGCTCCGAAACTACTGAACCGATTTGAAAAATTATTTCACTATTTGGAAGCTACAGTATTCCCGAGTGACATAGGTAATCTTTTTTGAAAAAAATTAGGGATCCTTACTAAAACTCCAATAATATAACTCAAGGTATAAAAAAAGTTACCTAAATATTCTTTACATTGCGTGCACTGCAAAAACTATTAATGATAGAATCAAATAATGTATGAACTACGACTTTGTAGAACACATTATTATTTACAAAAAGTGTCGCGACAGCATATGTCTAACTATTATAGTTATGTCGCAATAAGTGTTTTTTTGTTTAAAAAAATAATGCAATGTCAAATATCGTTGAAATTTTTGTTAAAGACCCGAGCGGAGCCGGAGCGGGCCGCTAGTTTTATAATAAACTACACTTAGGAGCGCGAAATTTTAAATCACCAACTGTGTTTTCCCGCTAAGTCCTATGATTACGCATCTTAGATAAATCATTTTACGATTTAATTGATGAAAAGGTCACATTATGTTGCGTAGTTCTTTATTAGCATAGACACATTGTTGATGCTGTTTCTTAATTTTATAACAAATCAGAGAAAATTATGTTGAGAACATAAAGGCGAAGGTCCATTGATTGTTTTGTTCATGACGGGGTATTTTTTTTTAAGTTTCAGAGGCTGATGGCAAGATGCTACGCCTACTGATAGGCAATAATTACTTCATATTTACTTAATAATTGTTCGAGAATAGCATTCAATCCTAGTTAAGGTTGTTAAGATTTATATGATCTTACAAGAAATAAGGGACGCTGTACGCTTCATGCTTCAGCACAGAAACCCTGCTTTATCAGATCTCCACTACTTCTCCAGTCCATACAGCTTAATAACTGAACAATACCAACACCAGCATCTAAAAATCCTTGTTCTATGAGGCAGGGTGCTCATAGCCCGGGCATAGGGGATTACCTCGAGGCCCGATCCGCCCCCCAATACGACGATGTAAAGATTTCTTTATTATAAAACTTACTCCGCGGTTCTCGTAGAATTTGTAAATGAAGCACATTCCATTCGCCGGTATCAATATTTTCTTGTGTTACTTTTTGATCCATGAGCTACTAGTACACTTTGTGTAGTTTTATAGCAGATATATCCCCCGTTGATCTTTTTGCAGAGTTTCGTGGAGTATTGAGACTTTGTCTTCAACGTGATCTACTATTGGTCAATGACTATATGGAAAACCAGAGCGCCGCAGAAGTCGCAGCAGGCCCAAACTCCGATGGTTAGATGGCGTAGAGCACGACCTCAAAGCTATCGGTGTCAAGAACTAGAAGGAGAAAGCCCTGAACAGAGCAGTCTGGAGAGACATACTGGACCACCCTGGGCTGTAAGGCCTAAGATGATGATGATGACCTCAACGTGGACGATGGTGTTCACGTAGAGATTGTTATGTGTTCCTGTCCTTCTTTAAGATGCAAGGTAATAAAAATGTCTATGCCGAACATATAGTAAATATGCCTTTAAAACATCACACATACAAATCATAACCATAGGATTTGAGTAATCCTTCCTCCTCCTTGCGTCGATAATCCTCAGTGCTGAGGGTCGTGGCCTCCTCTAATAACTTTCTCCTGCATCATCTTGCGCCATTCCTGCCTGTCCTCGGCTGTGTGGATAGCAACGTGGACTGAGGTATTGAGAGTGGAGCGTATTTGGTCCGACCAGCGCATTGGATTTCTACCTCTGTGCTTTCTCCCGCATACCTTAAGTAATGTACCTTAAGTAAGTAATGTACCGCATACCGCAGTAATCCTTAATCGCAAATAATTTAAAGCTAAATGTTGTTTGCCTTTAAATTACACTGTTGCGCCATACGAAGCACCGCAAATTAATTGATCTGCAATTTTATTTAAAAACGAACATAGTTCGAAAATTCCTTGTTTATAAACACTTAAAATTTTCCAGCGATTATTAGTCTACAATATTCTATAACTATGAATGTTAACAGTGCTGGTAATTACTAGTGGTAGGGCAGATTATGAACCGATCCATACTGATTTCCCATTTAGGTAGGGTAATAGGAATTCGTTTGAGGGAACTAACTTGCAGATATGCTTATCTTAGCATTATTTTTATACTGTACCAAATAGATAACTAGGTGGGCCGTGAGCTCGTCCACCCATCTAAGCATAAAATAAAAATAAATAAAACATAAATTCTAAGTCTCGCATAGAATCAGTAGACCTTTGATTACTAACTAATAAGTTGAGTGACATTAAAAGCTTGTTTTCATAGAGAAAGCGAAAGGTAAATTGGAGTTCATTGCTTGAATTTTACGAAAATTCTTTTTGATGTATACGGATTGCTTGGAATGATACCTACTGGGAATAGTCTTGCAAACATTTTTCTTTGCAGAGAATTGGCAGCGGTACACTAAGTAAAACAGAAGATTGTAGTCCTTCTTCTGTCACTCCCCAACCTGCTACAACGCCAAAGTTTTCAACAAGAGGCTCAGCAGTTCAGGAGCCTTTGCAGTTCAGGAGTAATCGGCAAGAAAAAAAAGATAACTAGTTTTATAAGGAAGTAGTTGAAGTACCTACTTCAACTTATTTACTATTTGTTGTAATTTGCGTAGTTGAGTCAATAATCTTAAGACCCATCTAGTGTTAGGTGGATGCCATCGCTTATGGATTTCAGCAGTGTCAGGGGTACAGCCAAGCCGCTGCTTACCATAGAGTACTCTTTACAAATTTCGTTTGAAGGAAGACATATTTTTTTATATATTGTTTTGATGGGTGGACGAGCTAACAGCCCACCTGGTGTTAAGTGGTTACTGGAGCACATAGACATTTACGACGTAAATGCGCTTGAAATATAAGTTTTAAGGTCTCAAGTATAGTTACAACAGCTGCCCCACCCTTCAAACCGAAACTCATTACTGCTGCACGGCAGAAATAGGCAGGGTGGTACCACCGGTAATTACGCAAACTATAATTTTGCGGGTTTGATTTTTATTACACGCTGTTATTCCTTCACCGTGGAACATGGAACAAAATATCAATGGAAATGCACTGTGAATGAAGGCAGTGGTTCTAGATAGCTTAGATGAATTTTACTCCAGTGACGGGCGGAACGATGGTTAAAACAAGATGATGGCATTATCTCAAACGATTCTAAAGGGCACTTTCCCATAGAACATCCGGTACAAAATACAGACTGAACTGAAGTTCTTCCGTAGACCTAGTGTTTTCAAATAATTCGTGAGAATCGACAAATAGAATAGGTAACTTTCAATAGTCAAATGGAAGTAGCTGGTATTTGGGAGCCCCGACCAAGAGGTGGGCACAGCTAACCACGGACTCGTGTTTTATAAAGAAAAGCCTTTGTCCAGGTGTGAAGAACCGCTTCCCGGCATTTTTAGCGCCGACTTGACCTTGCCCACCAAATCACTCCGATACTGGACATCACTCGAAACGTCCCCCAATCCCAAATCTCGTGGAAGGTTGCAGGTATCCTTGGAATTGCGGCACTATTACAGAATTGTCCTTCTTCGCAGTGAATGCGCAAACCTATGTGTAGTTTAGTATAATTATTTACCACTGTAGTTATTTTTCACTCTGTACGTAACCCAAGTGGGCTTAATTCTCAGTACCGTAATGTTTCGAGCAACTCTTTGTTTGGAAACGAAATGCTATTAAAAATGTTTCAGGCACCAAGCTGAAGCTACAGATGTATTATTTTCTTTGCTGGAAAATCGTGATTCGACTTCATCGTAATTAATCTATGCGACTTAAATTGCAGTGCCGCTGTGCCTAGAATAACCTGTAGTTTGGCAACTGAAGTCTAATTTGCATAAGTACATAACTCAGGCACCGAGCTAACTATAATACCAGTTATTCGTAGTGAGAATGAAACTGCATCTAATAATATTAAACTGTTTTATAATCTTATCAAAATTACTAACTTTTTTTGTTCATCTTTTATAAGTTTATTAAGTAATAAATTATAGTTAAATTAACGAGTATTTAATGCAAATAATTATAGAATTCGTTATTTGCAGCGATAGAGTTTATTTCGTCAACATTTTTGCCCTTCCACCGGCCCGGCGTTAAGATATTAGGGAGTCTAATAATCATACGCAGCCTCAACACCGCTACCTTTTTTTATTATTTTTTGCTTAGTTGGGTGAACGAGCTCACAGGCGAGCTGGTGTTAAGTGGTTACCAGAGCCCATAGACATCTACAACGTAATGCCGCCACCTACCTTGAGTATGAGTACCTATGAGCTCTATAAGTTACAACGGCTGGCCCTTCAAACCGAAACGCATTACTGCTACACGGCTGAAATAGGCAGGGTGGTGGTACCTACCCGTGCGGACTCAGAAGAGGTTCTACCACCAGTAAGCCACCTAAAAGAGACGTGACGTCAAANACCAGAGCCCATAGACATCTACAACGTAATGCCGCCACCTACCTTGAGTATGAGTACCTATGAGCTCTATAAGTTACAACGGCTGGCCCTTCAAACCGAAACGCATTACTGCTACACGGCTGAAATAGGCAGGGTGGTGGTACCTACCCGTGCGGACTCAGAAGAGGTTCTACCACCAGTAAGCCACCTAAAAGAGACGTGACGTCAAAATCTCAATTGTAGTTAAAAACACACGTCAAATCAAACAGGAAGATATGGTGACTCCGCTGCAAAAATTATACCGTACAGAATAGAGCATCTGCAACCAGCTTAGCATACAGATTCTCATTGTATGGAAATTTGAGATAAGCACATTATTTATAATTTAATGGTACCTAATTATAGACGTATCTTTTATTTTAAACACTATATAAAACTATTCATTCAATTATTCTGTAAAGAAGTAAAACAGTATTTTTAACTGTAATAAAAGCTTTGTTCATTTCCTTTTGTTTTAGTTTAATAAAATTAGTAAATTGTCGTGCGCTTCGATTAGTTCCGTTTCCGCAAATAGCTCAGCACTAAACCCATTCTCAACAGATATCTTCAACAGTCTCAACACCTTAAAAATAGTAGCACTTAGTGGTATTAGTATTAGTGGTAATATCATTAATAGTAGTAGAAGTAACAAACGTATAATAGTAAGAACGGTAAGGGCACTAAGTTAAAATATAGCAAAAAGGTTATGTATCCATAAAGCTTTGTTTGAGACCGCTCCGGTGCACGGACCGTTATACCACCTGTCATCATTCATCACTGCCCTGAGTGGCAGGGAGCTTCTGCCCGGGTAGTGGGATTCGCCCTGACGTCTGTTCCGTGCCCACGTAAGTGGGTAAGACGACCCCGCTCGTTGGTTCTTTCGAAACTGCTCCATAATAGACCTATATAATCTGGGACAATATTACAATTACCCTCAAAAAAATAAGAAGTGAAAAACTATAACCCCGTAAGTTTTACGGAGCTGGATGAAATAAATTATTTGTAAATAAGTAATCTCTCGCGTTTGAAATCGAGCTGAATAATCGTTAAAGGCATTGTGCTTTGCGATCACCACAGAATTTTTTTAAGTGGTAAAAAATATCGGCCACTTATAAAAATAGAACCCCACGTTTTACGAGGAAAAACGATCTCTTTCAATCCTTAATCTTACAATTCTGATAATTTATAAATACCGCATATAAGCCACTGCAAACTTAAGGACGAGTCGTGCATTTGCTCATGTAAGAAGAGATAAGTTGCATTTACACCATACCACGCTTTTGCAACACGCTTTTATTATCCGATTGATCATGATTACCCGAATAAGGAAAATTGTAAAATATTGCTACTTGAATTTCTAATAATAACGGTAAAAAGTGGGTTTCTTTACAAACTTACGTGACTTTAAGAAGAATAGATAGCTATTTCGTAATAAATACCTTACTCCACATTAAATAAGAATTGAAATTAATTTCAAAATACTTCAGTCACGTACTCGTTACATGCTTTAAAATAGAAAATTTAAATTATATTTGGAATAATGTATTTTTTCAGGAGCCTGATTAACATCTTGAAATGGTCGTAGGGTATATGGTAAGTCCGTACAGAAAATTAATACTATACAGTCCATTTCAGTCGCGGTGCAGTTTGAAGGATGGGTAGCCATTCTGGAATGTCACTTGAAACATTGACATAAAGTCTGAAGATGGATAGCGTCTAGAATGCCAGTTGAATTTCGAAGTCGTCGTGGCCTAAAGGATAAGACGTCCGGTGCATTCGTATGTAGCGATGCACCGGTGTTCGAATCCCGCAGGCGGGTACCAATTTTTGTAATGAAATACGTACTCAACAAATGTTCACGATTGACTTCCACGGTGAAGGAATAACATCGTGTAATAAAAACCAAACCCGCAAAATTATAATTTGCGTAATCACTGGTGGTAGGACCTCTGGTGAGTCCGCACAGGTAGGTACCACCACCCCGCCTATTTCCGCCGTGAAGCAGTGGTGCGTTTCGGTTCGAAGGGTGGGGTAGCCGTTGTAACTATACTACTGAGATCTTAGAACTTAGGCGGATTGGGGCATTCACATTAAGATGCCTATGGGTTCCCATAATCACCAACTGAGTCTTAAGCTTACTCATCCATTAAATAAAGGCTAGAGGAATAAGTGCAATTGTATTATAAAACCTACTCATACCTATAGTAACAGTTTACGTACACTATTTATATTGTTCTCAAGTTTGTCAAGCCAAATAACAAAAATATAGTCTTCACAGTCTTCAAACATAGTCTTCGAAAATATCGAAAGAACCTAAATTCAAAACGTGAACATGCTACACTCTTTATTTAGACAATTTCAACATTCATCCCGAGTTAAAATATTCTCATGTGTTTTAATTCAGTATAGAGGTCACTAATCACAAGATAAAAAATGTAGCTCCATCATTGTTTATTATTTTATTTCAATATCTTGTTATTAAGAAACGAAATAATATATCTTAATTAAAACAAAGTTATCATTTAAAACATTTTTCTTTATTAACAAGAGTAGGTAAAAACTTATTTACAAAAGTTGAAACATTGTTCTTACAGGCTAGTTACTGTCGTTGTATTTGATTTGGTGATGTAGGAAATATTTCTTGATACTACATGTTTGAAGCTAATGGCACAGAGAGTCACCAGATTTCTTGTATATAGAGATTGTTAAACCTATTTTATGATTAGGTGCTGTGATAACAGTGCATTTTATGCTTATATAACTTAATTAAATGTGAAATAACGAGTATTTCTATTTCTAGTATTAAGGTGCGCTTAAGTTCTTATACATATTCAAGATATGTGGTTTGAAATTCAGATTTATCTTGACTTGCACAAGGCAGTTATCAATTTGTTTACGGAGAATCAATTTGTTATCAATTTGTTTACTGTGAAATATTTAAAGCTTTGAATTTGAAAAAAAAAAAAAGATGAACTCTTGTCGAACACATTCATGGCTTAATTATATTACAGGGTCTAAAATTTTCCAAAGCTCGTCAAGTATTTAGATAAAGTTCATAAAGTAAGCTAGTCAGTCTGCTATGAACAAAAGTAGGACATAGAATTACATCCTTTATATTAATTCTTATTGGTCGGCAGAGACGAGAGTATTGAATGTCCATCATGTCTGTTTTCACCAACAAGATGACGGTTTGTTCTGCGACATAATATTCGGTTCTACTTTAACGTACTTGAAATCATTAAGAGTGAGCAGGACACAACATTACGTCAAAGTACATATTGCGGATCTCGAATTACTTAGGTCTAAACTACGTTTACTTGAGATATTAGTTAATTATTGCTGGTAGTATTGACCTTTGTAATCGAGAGCGGCTTTCTCTTCTTGTTGTCTGGCAGCTTCGGGGTTTGACTTGGCTTCTATGGCGGCGCGTTCCTAAAAATGACCAAAAAATAACAGTTAATTGATTAAAAACTTTTCGCGAGTAGTAGACATATTTAAAATTACTTTTATGGTTTAATCTCACTTTTTCTATTGTCATTATATATATACTTTTTTTTTTTTTTTTTTATTGCTTAGTTGGATGGACGAGCTCACAGCCCACCTGGTGTTAAGTGGTTACTGGAGCCCATAGACATCTACAACGTAAATGCGCCACCCACCTCGAGATATAAGTTCTAAGATCTCAGTATAGTTACAACGGCTACCCCACCCTTCGAACCGAAACTCATTACTGCTTCACGGCGGAAATAGGCGGGGTGGTGGTACCTACCCATGCGGACTCCCAAGAGGTCCTACCACCAGTGACGTCTCGAAGACTTTATGACCATCATCGAGCACCACGACCACCGAAATCGCGAAACCCGTAGAGTATTCGAAGCATTGTAAATTATTAACAACCCAGAATTAAAAAAAAACGTGGGATTAAATTGTAAAAGTTACTATACATTTTTATAATTAAAAAAAATTATAAAAAAAAAAACAATAGATTTATCGAAATATTCGAAACTTGACCCAGTTTAAGCGCGAGCATAGTCTCCGAATCATGAACAGTTTTATATTTTAATGTTGAACATCTTTTACGTAATTAATTCGTTCGTCTTCACTTTCGCTGTCATTGACATTCGGTATTAATAATCAGACTTTACCTGGTTAGCCTTGATGCCGGCGTAGATAAGGTCAAGGCCTTTTTGAATTTCAGCCGATACAGGGGGAGGGGTGGGGATGTGGTCGCCGGAAACTCTGAAACCGAACTCGTCAGCGGTGTACTCGACGGTAATGACTTGACCATCAGGGGCTGTGTATGTATAGGATCCCTGTTGGACCAGAGCAGTGTTGTCTTGGTTATCACCGACTGTCTTCAAATAACCTTGCTCTTGAGCCTGAATGTTGTTACCAGTTTCATATCTGAAAAGACGAATTTTTGAATCATCATATCAATGCTATAGTTTTCAAAGTATTACGGTTAAATTTATTGTACTACTTCTAGCGTTTCAAACACTTATATGTGTATATGTAATCGAGGTCAATGTCCTAAACGTTAATTACATAAAGACCGATCGAATGTAATCAAAGTACATTCGATTCAACTGTTTTAAATCAAAGTTTCTTAATCATAGTTGTCTGACTGGCTTTATTATTTACTTAGGGTGGGGATTACTTAGGGTTTACTTAGCATACAAGTACACCAACCTCATACGTTATTATAATATTTTAGGTACATTAAAGAATAACGTAAATATATTCTCATTTAATCTTTTGTCTACGTCCCTAATCCTAACTACACTAGTTGCTATTTTAAGTACTGTATGAAAAAACAATTGTATGTTTATAATAAAAAAATTATTGCTTAGATGGGTGGATGAACTCACAGCCTACCTGGTGTTAAGTGGTTACTGGAGCCCATAGACATCTACAACGTAAATGCGCCACCCACCTTGAGACATAAGTTCTAAGGTCTCAGGTATAGTTACAACGGCTGCCCCACCCTTCAAACCGAAACGCATTACCGCTTCACGGCAGAAATAGGCAGGGTGGTGGTACATACCCGCGCGGACTCACAAGAGGTCCTACCACCAGAATAGGTACTAGCACATTATTAGTGCAGCAGAAGAGAAATTGAGAGGTATATATTGTAATTCAAGCATATCATATTTAGCTACTAGCAATATAATTAATGATAAATACAAAAGTAGACATCCTTATAAACGAACTCATTCTGTGTGTATTTAATAAAAAAAGTGAAGGGCGTTTGTCTGCTCTATCGAGATTATTTTTCAACACGTAGACATTTAACAGGTATGTTAACAGGATCTATCTCTGATCAAGGTCATACAGAAACATGTTGTTCTATCTATAACAGATGACACCGTTATTGATAACCCTAACCGATTTTAAAGGTTAAGGATAAAATATAACATCCTCGTGATTTATCAGCAACCATAAATACTTACGAAGTTTTGTAGCTTCCGTCGGTTCCTTGTTCCTTATCGAAACGGATAATGGGGATGTAGGTACTGGTCTCCAATTGGACTTTAGGTCTGAAGTCATCGACTGGTTTTGCTGACCTATATTCCTGTTGCTGGGGCTGATAGTTGTTGAAGTTTTGTTCAAGTGGGAGTTGGTCTTCCACTTGCTGTTCTGGCTTCAACGAAACCTTCCTTTGGGGAAGAGCCGCCGCAACGGCAATAAGAGCGGAGATTGCGATCTGAAAAAAAAGGAAGATCGTCTTAGAAATGGTTAGTAGGAATTGTAAACATCTCCATAAAAGATCAGGATGATGTCAGACAGAGGAGCTTAATCATATTCGTAATGTCGCAAGTTAAGATGGAGCGGATACAATAGTCTGGGTCTTGTGAAACCGGCTCATTCGACACGCTAGTTGGGCGAAAGTGGGCCCACTATAAAACGTATCGACATTTATTTACGTACGTACATATGTACATGCCGCGTTTTGTTTTCGTTGAGATCATCTAAGTATTCACGGGCTGTTAACTCGAAAGATTTTTTCTTGTGGACTATTACAACACAGTACAAGCCCATTTTGACGAATTAATCCTAAAAATATGCTAATCATTGCAATATGTGATAGCGTCATGCTATGTTTCGTGATGTCGGCGACTAGAGCAGCTGGTGAGCCAATGAAATTAGCATTAATCAAACGATCGCGCAACGAGCTGTCTAAAAAGTTACGATTCATCGAGTTCTTTCTATTGCCGATGCTACTTCAATCATGTAATGATAGTTATTATACAGAACATTACGCCTACATTCTAATACATAACAAAGTAATATTTTATAATTTGAAAGGTGTTCATTGTCGGAATTACGGTAAATATCGATAGCGTTCCAAAATTTTACATAAATATTATTGAATGTATTTTGATACGAATATCGGTTTTATAATTTTAATTTTATTCCAGCTTTAGCTACAGTAACAAAATATTTCCTAATCAACTTTCTTAACCCTATATTATATTGGTTAATAACAAACAAAAAGTTTGTATCTGAACGTAAAAGGATCCAGTCTAGTGAGGCACCAACCGAAAAATAAAATTTGAAATATAAATTAGACATTCTAAAAATATTACAAAAGAGACAAAGTAGGAGTATTTGGGTTAAATACACCTACAAGCGGTAATAATTATGTTGATGCTGGATGTTACATTGAGAACATTTTGCAATATAATATACATGTGTTATTTTTAAAATAGATTGTATTACATTTTGTGTTATTTTTCTCGAGAGCTGTCAATCAGAAATAGACTATAACTACAAGGCGATACGAAAGAGAAATAACAGAAGAAAATACATACTTTTCTTAACTAAGAAAAAATTTGAAAATTAATCTATTACCTACTAATTAAAAAGTATATCTTCAAAAAATAATTTCAAAGTAAATTAAAAAGTGAAACTCCCCGTATTTAAATGCAAAATGTACTGTTATTACTATATATTATTTATTTGTATTTAAAACAACTCAAAGTTGAAATTAAATCTTGAATTGACAGATGGTAGGCAACTGGTAATATCGAATACAACTACGACACTTATTTTAGGAAATAGTTATTATGCACATAACATATGTACATACTTCGGTCACAATATCATAAAATAGTTTAATAATTCAATCCAACACTCGGAAAACAGTGACATATACATCATTGCAAAGACTATAATGTAACACAAAAATACCACCAACGAAAAACACAGTAATTAAAGTAGGTTTTTCTATCACTGATTACCAAATCGCCAGTGAGAGAAACTGAAAAAAATCAGTGATGTTGAATTGAGTCAATTCATTCTCTTCAGTTTTTAAACATTTATCTGCTATATAATTTATGGCGTAAACATTACAGCGTGAATACTGCCACTCCCGTTGATCGACGGTGTTGAAGCCTCAATACCAAAATCACAAACAACACTCGGTTCGAATAGGCTCTATTTGAAAATTATGCATTATTCTATTCTATTATATTAAAGAACGGCAAGTAATGATTTACGTACTACCTTTTCAGCAACACGTTAGTCAAACAAAAATATCATATAATGTTATGAACCTATTTAGAATTAAAGAAGAAGTTCTTGAAGAAGAGCGTATGTTTTGTTTACATATTGAGGTCATATCCCTCTTAAGAAAATGTATGAAACGTAAAGAGTGAAATAAATAGACATGCGGAAATATTCTTTTATACTTCACGACCGCTATTCATTACGTTCGATTCCGTAACTGCAACTATGTAGTTTGTTAAGCGTCTTGAAATAGAAGTGTTGATGATTAACTGTGTGACAAACCGTATTTTACAACTTACTTTAATATATTTATGTAACAAGTAACCGTAATACCGTGACACCCAAGTAACGAGCCTGCTTTCGTTCGATTCTCACGCATATGCTAATCAAATACAAGGTCGGTATTAAAATATCAGTTTATTAAATATAATACATATATTAATTAATAGCTATTAGACCAATCTAATAAATAACTGTTTAATTACGTAACACCCATTTAAGATAGGTGCGCCAAAATTGATTCACGAAATGAACTAACTAAATTTAATGCAGGAATTCGAAGATGAAGGCATTTAAATATCAAAGTTCAGAACTCCAGTAATAAGCATTTGCATTCGTTGCCTCTCAAAACAGCTTATAGTAAGATAACCCTCAAAAACGATTGCTCATCTCCAGATATTCCGTTCTCTAGTTCAATGGCAAAGATAAATAAAAAAACCTTGGATACGTTTAAAGGATGATAGTTAAGCTGTCTGAACTTACCAGCAGCTTCATGGTTGTGAATGTGAGGTTTGACGTGCGGCAGCCGTGTGGCACGTGGATTGTCGTGAACTATGTCAGAGTGGAAGAGGTGCGCTCGCTTTTATACTACACCCCTGCCACACACCCGCTCTGCTCTGAGCCATCAGACTTTCATCCGGCTTGACGCTGCAACACGCTGAAGTATGTCCCGATGTTTTTATTTCAATTTCGATGTTCGAAATTAAAACGTTAATTAAAGCAATTATAAACTATGTTAAATGAAGCGACATTTTAATCGATTATACTAATTCAAGCGAAAAATTTAAACAACTTTTACGCCTTTTGAAATGTTGACATTAGTAATTTGATTTCTAAATATAAAGTTTATTTGATTTGTAATTATAAACCATTGTAATATTACTTGGAAAAACATTTCGTATATTTTATTTATCTATTAAGTACTCTTCTAGTAACTATTTAAAGTAGCACAATGATACAAAAAAGACACGACTCATTTTTAAAATGATAAACCTGGAAGCACCTACAGCAGAGCGTTGTTTATTCATCATTAATCCATAGAGCTACGTCTAATTCTCGTGTGACATTATGCTAATAACAATGAACAAACTTTGAGTTTGCCAAATAATATTAAAATAAGTCAACGTTACGCAAAGACTGATTTAAACTTAATAAATTTAAAAATTGTTATGACTCAATATCTCACTGATTCGGAAGGCCTAACCCCCCCCCCCCCCCGTCTTCGATAAAAAATTTAATTAGATAATTAGCTTATTAAATTATTTTATCTACTTCTTCTTGCCCTTATCCCACATTATGTGAGATCGGCGCAACATGTCCTCTTATCATGGTGCATAAGCATTTGGCGTGACTTTTAAGACTGGCCGTTTGCCTGAGTTCAAACCTCGTTGGGTTTTATCTCCAGTAGCATATCTATTGCAACGCGCCTTAGGGAGGACTTTTGTGTTCCTTCTTTTGTTGTTTACTTCATTCCTTTTTGTATCTATGATTTCATTTACTGTTTTCTAAACAATATATTAGGATTTAGTACATTAATTAAGGACAACTTATTTGAAGTCAACCTGCTGACTAATTTACATTCAACTATCAACGTTAACATTTGTTTTATATTTTCACTACACCTTTACAGATGAATGACACGCTGTACTAGTATGTGAAGCTCTTGCTGATCCCACACAACTGATTAACCTCGTCATTATCTAAGAATTACTCACACATGTAACCTTCAATTGTATTACAAGAACCTACGATTTACGAAGTAGCATCTAAAAGTGGAAGTAGGAGATCTTAAAGTAAATTTAAAATGAAAGAATGAAATAAAAAGGGTAATTTCAAAATTTGCCGGAAACACAAAAACAGTTGAATTTTTCATATGCTCTTTCTTTACTTGCAAATAATGATTGGACAATTACGCAAACTATAAAAGTTGTAAATGTCACAGTTTTATTGCAAAAGTAGTCAGACGTTTAGAACAGTGAAATTCGTCAAACAACTTATGGCTAACTAAATTTATGTATTCAGATTACCAAATACTATATCACGATAAAAATCATAGAAAGATACTTTTGATCTATTGATATTGTTATTAATTTGAAGTAAAAGGCCTATGAGATAAAAAAATATTTCGAATTGATAACTTTAGTTGTTAGAACGGAACATAATTTTTCTCTGTTGCACTAGTTGAATTATCCAAAGGCATTGTGTATAGTTCAATAATGAAAGTATAAAAATAGATACGCTGCCTTGTAGCCTTGACAAAGAATATCGAATTAATTTTCTGATTTAAGCTTCTAAATTAGTAAAATTATTCGAAACTTGCATCTATATCTTAAGATGGACATTCGAATGTAATTAATATTTATTTGAATGATTAATATAAATCCCGTTTTTCTGTATATTTAGTTGTATCCTGTTGCTTCACCGGTTTCATCTTGATAAAGATTTCTGTGGTTACGTCTCTAGTCTTATCCTAGATTTTCGCGAGTTTTCTACATATCATATACATATATCATCCTCAGCCCGTTGATATCCACCGCTGGGCATAAGCCTCCCCGTCTTTTGCCTTAATGTTCGATCACCCATCGTTGTCATCTAAGTCTTGACTATCACATCGGTCACAGTGTCATCGGTCTTCCGGCACCTCTACGACCTCTCATTCACTGTCCTACTCCATCTGTTAACATTTCTTCTTGTTATTTATCCGGTCCAACACATAATTGGGGATTAAGGAGTTACACCTATCACATTAATGACAACACATAAAAGGAATTAATTACACCTGTGACTTTCGTCACCACGAAAACTGAAAGGTAATCCAAACGTGAGTATTGTGAATACAAAATCATGCAGTAAAAGGAGATTAGTTTATGTTTACGTATGAAGTATAGTAAAAATCAACCGAACTTTAGTTTTAAGGTCCAGCTAAAGTTTTGTGGTAACCGTACGATTTAAGATTCAATTCACGACCGTAGCACTTAAGATTCAATACATTTGCAGCACTACAACAATTGGGAGAAATATTATAAAACTTGGTGAGATCAGCTTTGTCCTGAAGTGTCATTTAGATTTTTTCAACATAGATCAAAAACAGCTTCTATGGCGTAATTTCGAAGTGCTATTTACACAATAGACAATGAACCGATAATAAATAGGATAGAGAATATTTTTGGTGTTAAGTTAACGCAATGATTTCGAGTGGTACAAAAGTTGACCGCCTGCAAAGGGCACACTGCGCTAGAAGTTGTGTCACGTCTTATAAAAAAAAAATCAGAAACAATATTAACGAAATGTGGAATGACTAGGCTTTTCTAGATGGCAGATGGGCTCATAATTAAAATTCATTTAATTTTAGGCGGTTACCAGATTTCATTACGTACAAATACCGTTGCTTAACTTAAGACAAAGTATTAGCATTAATAAATATGTACATATCTTATGTAGATGTATAACATGTTCGTGAATATGTTCATATTAACATTTTGGTATTATTGTGTGAATATTAAGGTGAAGATAACCAGTGTTCATTAATTATTTTACTCCATTATTGATTTCACGCCTTTTCCATTTCCAGCTTACATATTAGTGTTGTATCTACGCTGAAAGGTAAACCATTGTACAAATTTTTTATAATTCTTCTGCGTCAACTTGAATTCCTGTATTTGTCACTGAGCTCCTCCTAAAAGGCTGGATTGCTTTTGATGAAACTTTTCTGTGAATAATAACATTAGGATACTAGACGTTCTTTGTGGTTTCACCTACATTATTCCGTATTTTGTTCGTTCCATATTCATAGGATATAAGCTTAATTGCGTTACTCTGATCTGTAAGGTGTTAAGCGATTTGTCGATCCTTTGGTACGTAAATTGTCAAACCAGCGAACCCGTTATCGTATTTGTTATAGCAGGCCTGACCTTTAACTGGTCATATCATTTACTATGATAAAAAGTATCCTAAGTGTTAACGCTGTGATCTGTTTTTATGAGAAATTTCATCCAAATCCGTTCCGCCATTTTACGTAATTGAGTAACAAACATTCAAACTTGTAACCTTTCACATTTATAATATTAATATCGATAGTGAAAATTTATGGATACGTACTTTTGCAAAATTAGACTATTTGTATATTATTATGTAATTTAAGTAACTTATTTTAGTAACCTTGAGAAATACAAACTATACGTACTAGGTATGCAATCTCAACTTCTGAGCTTCTTCTGTTACTTCTAAAGTTTTATCCGTATTTTGGAGAAAAAAATTATAGGAGTATTTCCAGTAAGATTTGATATTATAAAAAAATACGTTTTTTTTTTCTGTATTAATCGCAAAACATTACGAAATCAATAAGAAAACCAATATGCTTTTTTAAATCCATAAACTGGATGGCCCTACCGGAGATTGGCAAATTACTAGAACGCATTCTGGCGGCCGGTATCGTCGGAATCGGACTCGATCTGGCGGGGGAGCAGTTTGTCTCCCGAGAAGGCCACTCGACCGTGAAGACACGCGAGCCCTCTCAGCAGAAGACTTTTTTGATGGACTTTATAGGGAGGGCGCAGGGAATGGAGATTTCTCCTACCTTTGTAAACTAAACGGCTACTATGGTCAATCGTCAGCACTGGATGCGATGGGGTTCCCGGAATTCGCCGGCAGTGTCGGATAGGGATCGGATCTTTAACCTTCTGTTGTGAAATATCAGGTATAGGTATACCCAGTCGAGTATTGAGGAGTGCCCTCCTCTTGGGCCTTTGCGTAATCTTTTACGCATATAACGCTAGTTATAGCCTGGGAGGATAAATTTCGTGAGTTTACCTATCTTGCCCACTGATCGAAAGGCACTTGTCGTTGGTCTGATTTTACTATTAGGACTCAAACTGGCGCTTAATTAATCTCAGATCTTTGTGTTGTCCCACAGGCATTGGAGTGCGCGGTCCGTCGATGCTCAAATCATGGTTGGAGGCGTCTGCATTGGTGTCGGAGTATAATTTATGTACCTCACTAGAGACAATTGCTGAACAGTCCACGCTCACTTCAAAGACCTAATCGCCAAGCTGTTGAGGACGGCTTTTCAATACTTAGGGCCTGACCAGGTGATGTGCAATATGATGTATGGAAATGAGCCAGACCAATCCCTGACCGTGAGAATGGAGAAATTGGAGCCAAGGCTACAGTTCACTATCAAGATCAGGCCATTCAAGCTTAGTGCACTATCTCCTTAGATATAGCATTCTGGAGGCTAAGGCCTTCATTGCTCATTATCGGTTGGCGTCAGATAGCCAGGCTCGGCGTCCACGGGGAACTTGTCACATTAATTACACCAAAATTACTGATTCATAAAAAAAACAATTCTGAAGGCAAAAATATAACTAAGTTGGCCAAGATCATTCGTGTGATAAAAGTGGACTTTCCTATACGTTATTTAATCTACAGCAGTCATTTTACAAAATAAAGCTACAGCTACAATGCTTAACTTTTTTATTTTATTGCGATCTGGGCCCTGAACTATGGAACTACAAAAACGCTGACATTTTGTTAAATGTAAGTACAATCAAGA